ATATCCTCCATCTTTTCCTCCTCCAAATTTTCCTCTAAAACTGTATCCTTTATTTCCAAATCCTTTCTCAAAATTATTGTGATTTTGAATTTGATTTGTACTTGTAGTATTTTCTTCTTTTTTTATTTCTATGTTGTTAATTCCTCTGCTACTCCTTCCTCTAAAACTTCCTCTTCTTTTTATCACAGGCCTTCTCCTATTTCCAAATCCTCTACTTATTTTCAAATTATCAAAATCTTCTTCAAGTCCTCTTTGTTTAAATGTTGTTTCTAATAATGCTGCATAATTCATCATTTCTTGTAATGTCATATGTTCTCCTTTATATTGTCTCTTTATTTGTTCTCCTTGTAATTCATTATATATATATCCATATGGTTTTAATGCTTCAAGATATTTTCTTATTACCCATGCTTCATGATTTCCAGTGTATTCTATTCCTGTTCTCAAGAGTTTATCTGTAAAATCAGAATTAAATTCAGTAATTGATCTGTATCTTGCATGACTAAATATTATTTCATATAATTTTTTAAATGCTGTCTCATTTTCAGATATTGTTTTCCAATGTTTCCTAATAAATGAGTATAATCCTGTTGCAATAGGTATTATAGCTATTGTTCTATCTGGTTGTTTGTATCTATGTCTGTAATCTTCTAGTGTCTTAGGTTTTAGGTGTTCATATGTATTTTTCCATATTGTAGCTGCTGTTCCAATCCATAATGATGCAATGTAGTCTATCATTTTTTTAGATTTTTCACATAACCCTATTGGTTTTTTTGGTTGTACTCCTGCTACATGCTCAATAGTTCCTATGTTTGAAAGTTCCACTTTTACTAATTCTAGTCCATCTCTATGTCTATTTCCATATGGTCCATTTCCATATGCTGCACAATGTCTATAATAGTCATAAGCTGGTAAATCTTTTTGTCCTGCTGGGTTAGGTAAATATTCATCATTAGGTTCTTTTCCTGTAGGTAATCCCAATCCTACTACCATTCTTTTTAATGCTGCTATATATGATTCTACATTACTTCCATCAAATAT